GTGGGGGCGGGTTCGCAGGCGGCGACAGCCCCTGCCCTAAGCACACAAGGGCTGGCGGCGACATGGGCACCCACCTGTGTGCCCTCCGGGCTGCTCTAACAGCCGCACTCCTGGGCACTGGGGGCTTGAGCGCGCCGGGGCGACCGCAGCTGTCTCAAGGCGGCGTCTCCGTACTGAATGCCCGAGCCCATCCTCTCCGGGTCCAGCTCACCTGCGGACCAAGCAAGGCTACGCTCAGACCGAGTCTTCCCGTCCTGCGCTCCTCCAAATAGACTAAGCAAGGGGAAGGGACACAGGCCCACAGAGGGCAGGACGCCGCCCACAGGGCGTCACTCTTGCCCTTTTTCTTTTTCAATTTTGCCAGAGACACGGGCACTCATGAGAGCGACAGAGTGAGCACCCCCTGGGGCGTGGCACGCCGCACCCTTCCTCCATTTCTCAGCCTGTCGGGACCTCGCACACGCCCGCGTCCAGTGTGTTTCCAAGCGGTGGGGCAGGACGTGAGTCATGTTGGCATGTGGGACGTGGCTCCCTTAATCTCGGGGTACAGGGCTGACCCTTGGCAAATCCCTTGTTCATGTTCTGATTTTTAAAAAAGAAGGCCGAGGTGTCCTGCTCCTGCTGAGCCCCAGCCTTCCCACTGGGCTCTGGCCTTCTCCCTCCTCCTTCCCTGGCCTCACCTCAGCCAGCCTCCTCTCCTTCACGCCCTCCTTCTCAGCATTCTCACGCCAGTTCCTTCTGACCCCAAACGCCACTTCACGTGACCTTCACACCTGCCGTCGGCTTTCTCACCCGCTGTGTGTCTGCCACCCTCTGCCCCCCGACTCTGTACAATTCTCCCCGGCAACCAGGACTGCAGACTCCCCACTGCCATCCCAGAGGACGCTGCCAGTCCAGTTCTCAGCCGACGGGACCTTCTGCTATCGCATTTCCGAATGCACGTTTCATGCCTTGCTGGCTTCAATGACACTCTGCCCCTGGGTCCTGCCCCATGTCCCTGGTCATCTCCTTTCTGTCTCTCGATAGGCCCCTCTTCCTCTGCTCTCCCTTCACTTCCTGGTCTGCTCCTAGCCACTGCACCATGCATCTTTACTGCATCACCCTCCCCATATCGTCACTCTCTTCATTGTTCCCCACAAAAGGTAGCTTCTTGAAGGCAAGGTCGTGATATATTCGTTTATGTGTCCTAGAGCCTGAAATACAGTAGGTACTCAGAGAGCTGAATGAATAAATTAGAAGGTAAATGCACACGGGACCAGCAGTTGGCGTAATGGCTTTGTTGCTGGACTCCCATGTAGTTGACCAGTTCGAGTCCCGGACCCAGTGGCTTAAACTCGTGCTGGGCACATGTGCGTGTGTGCCCAAGATCTGAGACGAGAATAGAGAAGAAGGAATTGTGGCGTGGCCATCCCCTCTGGGGGGTGATTTCTCACTTTCTGTCTCTTTGTCTCTCTCTGTTTTTCTGGCAAGCACAAGAGCCCTTTAGCAAAAGCTTCTCCCAAAAAAGGTAAATGCACGTATGTAATTTCGGTACTACTTCCAGAAAGGCTGGGCCAGGGAGTGGAGAGGTGGTTAAGGCTGCCGGAGGCAACACAGCCAACCATGCAGTTCAAGTCCCGGGACCTTGCAGCTTGAAAAGCAAGCCAGATGTGCATGGTGCCCCAAATCCCCAAATCCTGACAGTAACAATGGAGAAGGGACTGAGGTGGCCTTTCTCCCTCTCTCTTCCCCCCAGTGAACAGGTGTGCCCTCTAACAAAATTAAAATAAACAAACATCAACTTTAGTTAGGTGACAGTATATAATGTTTTATCAGCTGTCCACATTAGGGTTATCTGAAATTATTCTAACTGAAGCGAAAAATGCCACAATGAGGCAGACTGTGGCTGACTCCCAGCGGTAAGAGGTACAGCACGCAGTTTCCAACAGCACGGGATGTACTGGGAACTCCCTCAACAGCAGGGCAGACCCCGGCCGCTGTGTACGAACACCAGCCCAGCAGAACTGGCATGCTGTGGACAGATGGTGGACAAAGGTCCATTTTTTTTCTCCTTTAAGCGACAGATCAAAAAAAGACTGTGGCTCGGGAGCAGCAGGCGGCGTGATGGCTAAGGAGCTGGACACTCCCTCATGGCAAATGGCGGTTTGAGTCCCAGACTTGTAGCTTGCTTTCTTACTTCCTCTTTGTCTGTCTGTCTGTTTCTCTCAGTCAAATTAAAAATAAATGAATAGGGACCAGCAGATGGCATAATGGCTATCGCTGGACTCCCATGTAGTCGACTGTGGTTCGAGTCCCAGACCCAGTGGCTTAAACTCATGCCAGGTGCGTGTGCGTGCGTGCCCAAGATCCCGAGAGGAGAATGGAGGAGAAAGGATTGCAGCGAGGCCATCCCCCTGGGGGTGGGGGGCAATTTCTCGCTTTCTGTCTCTGTCTGTCTGGTGAGTGCATGTGCTCTATAGCAAAAACTCCAAAAAACAAAGAGTAAATAAAATTAAATAATTCCTTAAAAATAAAAAAATAAGACTATGGTTCTACAAGCAAATACTCCCTGGAACCCTGACTGTCCTGTAGTTTGGCTGCTCTCCCACCCCCAACAGGGCCGTGAAAACCATCCCGACAGGAGGGAGCTTTCACCTCAGCCCACTGAGCACAAACTCCAGACCAGGAACAGCAGTCTGGGGCTGGCAGGTGCAGAGACAATTCCCTCTGACCGAATCGCTCCCGCCAAGGGTAACGGCAACAGGACTGCGCTAGAGAGCAGACGTCATTCACGGAAGGGCTTTTACCTGATTCGATTTTGTTAAGTATCTTCCTTGCGCACTGCACAAAAGCCTCTTCGACGTTCTCCCCCGTGAGCGCGCTTGTCTCCAGGAACATCAGCTCTGAAACACCAAAGCACAGAGCCGTGTTTAGAAGACGGTCAAACCGTTCAAAGACAAAAGCCTGTTTAGTACCTTCCTGGAATAGCATGCAAACACGTGACTTATGACGAAAACTATGTATTTCTGCAAGAATCCACGCTGTTTTAAACGCGAGGAGAGGTCTGACGTGCCCTGCAACGTCACCGTTGCTGTGCCAGCCCTTCATCTGTAGAACAGTCCGGCTACGCAGCAAGGCTTCCAGCACGACACCCAGGAGGCAGGAGGCCGGCCGCCAGCGCGGCCCTGCTGTCTACTCGAGGTGCAGCCAGTTCCCTCCCCAAATCATGTGCGTGTCACCTCATACACGGCCTGTGAGTGTTCACACGCCCCCAGTACTATGCTGCAATCTGTCACTCGGCCCACGGCGAGGTTGCACGTGAACGACGCTTTCATCCACCAGTGCGGTGGCTGATCGCCCGGAGAGGCCTGCGCGGCTCGCTCTCAGGCAACCGCCCCTCGGCAGCCTCCAGTGGCCTTACTTGGAAGAGGGAGTGCATTTAAATGACTCCAGATTCCTCTGAGCTTCAACATTCTAACCTCTTGTGTTTCTGAGCAGCTTCTTTATAACTCCTGGGGCGGCCTACGTGTTTCTCGCCTATTTATTTTCTCAGCTTAGATGACTGCAGAGTCCCCCTAATGGCGAAATCAGGACATTCTGATCCGTGATGGGTTCCGAAAATGGATGCTATTTAAAATGTCTGAGCTTGCATCATTCCGTCATCCATAGCAACCGTACATTCCTGGGGCGCGCTCACAGAGAACCTGACACCCGTGACCGAATGACTGACGTCTAGTCTGAGCAAAACGAAGCCAACGAGCCGAGCAGCTCTTCGACTGTCCCCTATCTAGTTAGGACTAATATTTTGCCAACTTTCCTTCAAAATGTGTGAAAAAAAAATGACATTATCTGGTGAGAGCCCTTCACAGTTATAATTACGAGTTTCACTTGAACCCAAAACGTCTCCCGTTCCATGACCCAGGCTGAAAAGTCACCCCAGAATGCTGACACGATCGCTTTTACCATCACGGTGACTCCCGCAGGCAGAATACAGACACCCCAACACGCCAAGGCTGCGTTTATAATAAACACGGGAAAGCCCACATTCCCACGGTTTCATCTCGAAACTCTAGAAGGCATCTCACACGCAGCAATGCCACGACCCCCAGGCTGCCACCTGCCAAGCATAAGAGAAAAGGCCTTGCCGTTTTCCTGAGCGAATCTGGAGGCTTCGAGGAACGTGACTTCGCGCTCAGCGTCCAGGTCCTTCTTGTTTCCGCAGAGGATGATCACGATGTTCTGACTCGCCAGCATTCTGGCATCTGTTAACCAATTAGTAAGCGCATTGTAGGTTTCTCGGCTGCGTAACATAAGATTGTGAAAATAATACATGTATTTTATGAAACTAGCAAGTCTTTCCAGTCACTCTCACTCCTCACACCGCTCGTCCACCACGGGCACGCGGGAGGGACACGCCCGGTCTGCGCCACGCTCGCGGGTTTGCTCTGTTTGCCTGGTCAGGATGCCAAAGGGAACAGAAGTCCCTTCGTTCACCCCCACGGACCTGCCGAGCTCGCGGTGGGCACAGCACAGGCCGGGCTCCGGCGAGTGGGACCGAACAGCTAATGAGTCCCCGCAATGCGCTGGTGCTTTGCTGCCCGGGAACCGACCACGCTGGTCCTTTCCAAGGACTCCGTGACTCACACTGCTGTTATCGCCCGCTGCACCCCAGCACAGGAAGTGGCCGAGCCGGGACCTGCCCAGGTCTGTGTAACCTGCTGTTTTCAGCCTTGTCTATCTAAGGACACAGCCCGTCTGCGGGCACCCGCCGGCCATGTCCCCCTCTGGCAAGGGCAGGGAGGGCCTTTGGGAGCTGCCTGCCCCTCCGCGGGCGCCTGCTCTGACCACAGACTGAGGGGAGCACGGGCGTCGTGCCCTGATGGGCGGGTCCCCACCTAGAGAGGACCCCCCAGGAACACCCTCCTGGAGGACACGTTTCTAGGGTGGCCCTGCCAGCTCGCATTGAGATCGGTGCTACCTGGGGGACTCCGTCACGGGCAGGGAAGCCTCGACCACGCTGTCTGGTCCGTGGCCACCGGCCACCGTGGACACCTGCAGCGTGGCCAGTGCAGCCGAGTCCAGGGCTGAGTGTGACTTCGTTTAATGCCAATGGCATTGCTGCGTGTGACCAACAGCTGCCACGTCGACGCTCTCATCAACCAGTTTGCACCTCCCGATAACAGCGTGAGGGTGACGCGATGACCACGACCCCATTGTCCAGCTGCTGTGCCAACCCCGGAGCTCGGTGGCCCATGCTGGAACTGGGTCTTAACCCAGGCAGTCGAAGCTCACCGTGTCCTTAAGGGCCCCAATCCACTTCTAATGACCTCGTCACATAAAGCTTTGTGTGCTGCGGCAAAGTGCCCAACCACCACGGTAACAAACATAGTCAAGGGACTTGGTATGTGGCATGGTGGTTAAGGCGCTAGACTCCCACGTGGCCAGCCACGGTTCAAGTCCCGGACCTAGAGGCCTGCTTTCTCACTGTCTGTTTCTCTTTCTGTCTCTCTCTGGTCAAACGAAATGATTATAATCATAAATATTATTAATTAAATAATGCTTTAAAATATATATGTAGCGAAGGGTCCAGCAGGTGGCACAGTGGCTAAGGAGCTCAATTCCCACACGGCTGACTGTGGTTGGAGTTCTAGACCTGGCAGCTTTGAAAATCACGCTGGGCATGTGTGCGTGCGTGCTCAAAATCCTGAGAGGGGAATGGAGAAGGGACTGTGGCGTGGCCATCCTCCGTGGGGCATCAATTCTTACTTTCCCTCTCTATCTCTTCAGCAAGCGCATGAGCCCTATGGCAACAAAAACAAACAAAAATCATCATCTCTCAAAAATTAAAAAACAAAAAAAAGGAGCAAAACGGGAAGGACTGCTTCATTCCCCATGGGCACGTCCCTCTCCATGGCGAGGCAGCGCTGGGCCTGACCCAGACCAGAGGGCCCAGGGCCTTCCTGATGCCAGCCGCCTGCCTGGCCCGGACACGGCACACCTGTGGTACTTGCTAAGCCCGGCCTTCGGGATGGGGCCCTGGGCCACCTGCCCGCCCTGGGGAGTGTGTTACCTGGTGATGTCGTAGACCAGGAGGGCCCCGGCTGCGCCTCTGTAGTAACTTCTTGTCACAGACCTGAAACGATGACCCTGGTGTTACTTCTGACAGCCGAGAAGACCCCCTCCCCACGAAAAAATACCCAATTCTGCTTTGTAGACCACAGTGTGGGGACAGATCCGCTTTAAAGACAGATGGCTCAAAAATACACAGATTCATGCACAAGAAGTCACTCTGTCTGAAGCTGTGTCACAGAAACAATGAGGTGGGGACGCCGGGCTGGCTGGGACAAGCAGCACATTCTCACAAACATGGAAGCAGCTCTCAGTGACGCTGCGGGCATCTCCCCAGGAGGGCGAGGCGTCTGCAGGTGGACAGGAGCCACCGCCCTGGGTAGCCTGAGGCGCCAGGAACCCGCGCCACTTCCCGAAACTAAAACATGTGGATGACCCTTCACATATGCCGTCCCCATGCTTCTGTGCAAATTTCTGAGTCTGTTACCTGCCACCGCCGCCTCCTCACCCCCAACATGGGATCCCTCTGGGCTGCTTCCCCAAATGGCCTGTCGGGCTCTAGCCTCCAGTACCCAAGTCTAGCAGGCATCTCTCATCCTCACCCCCGCCTCGCCCTGCCTCTCCTGCAGCCTCTGTGCCCTCCACCACCCCTCTCTGCCCCAGATTCCGGCCCCCTCTCTAGTCACCCCGTCCAGGCTGGGTCATCATCTCCCACCCCTGCACTACAACTCCCCAGGCTGGGCCCTGGGCTCTCCTTTGCACTAACATTTGACTCACATTTGTTTCTTTGTTCTTTCCCTGACTGCCAGAGGGCCTGAGCGCTGGCCAGAGAGGGACAGAGATGGAGGGCGCCCCAGGGGGTCATGGTCCTGCCTCAATCGCTTCTCATCCTGTTGGTGTTTTGGGTGTGTGACACACACACACACAGGCCGTGTTTTTCAAGCTGCTTAGAATTAAAGGCTGAAGATGTTTTCATACTGAGTTCTGAAGGTGATACTTCAGTATTTTCTAGGTTCCAGCGCTCCCACGGAGGGGCCAGCATGACCCCAACTTCCGATACTTGTACATAAGTGTCTTCCCTCTTGGGACCTTTTTGGATCTCGACTTCCTCTGTGGAGTTTTGAAATGTCACATGACGTGTCCAGGCCTGGGTGTTCTCTTTATTGGCTGCACTTGGCGGAAGGTGGGCTGGTCAAGCGGAAATCTCACCCTTCAGCAGAAATGCATCTCCTACCGTCTCCGCAGCCTAGCGCTCCCTCTGCGCGCTGCCGGCGGCTCCCCGGGCCAGGCACGGCCATGGTGCGCTCTGGACTGGACGCAGCTTCTGGTCGCCCCTCCCATTTTCTCCCAGTCTCTCGGCTTACTCTCTGGGAGATCACCACCCTACTTACTCTGCTTTTTAAAATGTCATTTTCTATTTACTTGAATGCAATCTCTGCTCTTATTGCTGAAGATTCTGTGTTTTCCCCTATTCCCTGACGATTCCAATTTTAACAATTTGGGACTCTCTCTTTTATTGCAGAAACTTTCTTCGAATGCCTGCCTTAGCCTTCCTGTGAAGAGCAATGGTTGAGAGTCTGAAAGGAGCTCTTTGGGTGTGGGTGGAGCCGGGGGGCTGCCCGCGTCCCTACGAGGGTAACTGGATGCAAGTGTGGTTCTTACTGAGAAACCAAACCTCCTCTCTCTACATCTCTCCTTTCAGCTACTCGTTCTGCAGAAAAGAACCTTTCCCTGCCTGGGACTTACGCACTGGCTGCCCACAGCTGGGGGAGCCGCGGTGCTGGGCGAGGCTTCAGGGACTTCCCGTTCGTCTCGCTCCTCTGGGCCTCGCCACTCCTGTCCTCTGTCTGCATCACAGGGTACCTGCTCCCTCCTGCACACTGGCCTTCCTGGGACCTGGCCGAACCCCACGGAGCCCCACTCCCAGCCTTGCAGATGGAGCTGCCTGGGCCGTCAGTCACTCACCGGCCACCCACTTCCCACCTGTGACATGTTTCTGAAATCACTCACTCATAACTGAGCACCTACCCGGTTTGCCCCTTTTGAGTTTATGCTATTTCAATTATACGGTCATTTCAGTGGGTTCTGACAGGGAGAAGGCCATGTGTTTTCCAGTACCGCCAGAAGGTCAGTGACGAAAGATGGTTAGGATGCTTTGAAGCAATTACTGAATGTTAACATATACCCAATTATTGAATGTTTAATAAATAATTCATTCCCAACTTGAATGAAACGACATGTTTGCATGGGGGTCTTATTTCACGGAATTTTGAGACTATGAATATCTGTTCTGACTCTGTATCTGTGCAAACACAGCTGAAATCTTGACCTACGGTGTTGTTTTAGGAGGTGTAGGACCTAAGACCGCGATTCCTTTATGGTGATCTGAAGTCACTCCGGGACTCGATATAACCACCCTGTCATAAAAGTGTGGAGAAAGTACCGGTGGGTTATGTCTCAGGCACCAGGGTATGGCCTAAGGAGCAGGGAACTCAAGCACTTGTTAAAAATTCTTCTTTAAAGGAGAAACACATGAGAGGCTTCAAAAAGTTCATGGAAAATAATGCAGGGATTCCAAATTTTCTTTTTGTTATAACAAATTTGTACCTTTTTTTTTTCTTTTTAGTTTTTGTTTTGGTCATAGGGCATGTGAGCAGAGAGACAGAGCTACAGAGAGAAGGAAAGTAAAAAAATCACCCTCCAGGGGGCATGCCGTGCCACAGTCCCTTCTCCTCCACTCTCCTCTTGGGATTTTGGGCATGCACACACACATGCCAGATTTCCTGCTGCCGGGAGTCCGCCACGTCAGAGGCCAGCACCCTTACCCCACGCCGCCTGCTGCCCCAGACTTGTACTTGAATTCCATTTTCACAACCTCTGTAAAGTCCTCTCACATATTTCCTTTCTTAAGAAATGAACAAAAACATGTGTCATCACTGAGCCTTGATTGTAATCGGAAGCATGCGCCAGAGCGGGCAGTGCCGCATTCCCCCGAGTGTACTTCTCCTTGCAGTATCAGAAAGATCTTTGGCAGAAAGACTCCACTCTTCGAGCTCATTTTCATCCCTCTCTCTCTCTCTCTCTCTTTTTTTTTTAAGAATTATTTTATTTAACTTTATTTACTATTGTTATTATTTTTTAAAATTTGACCAGAGAGAAAGAGAGGAAAAGTGAGAAAGCAAGCTGCCTGGCCCAGGACTTGAACCACAGTCAGCCATGGGGGAGTCCAGCGCCTTTAACCACCACACCACCTGCCGGCCTCAGGTGAAGTTTCTGAAATCAGTGCAAAGGAGGGAGGGCTGTAGGGGTGGGGAGGTAATGCCTTGTGTACGGAGAGAATATAATTAACTCTCTCAAATTCAGTTTTCATGTATGTTTATTAAATGAGAGGAAAAGCTACCTGAATCGTTCTTGTCCTGCTGTATCCCATATCTGTAACTTTACATATTTACCACCGACATTTATGATCTTGGAACCGAATTCCACTCCTATTGTGTGATTTGAGTCATCTTTGACTAAAAGAGAAAAACAAGAACAGCACATTTAATTGTAGGACATTACGACAACAGGCTTACAGATCTAAACGCGTGATACGAAAATCGAGGGTTACCTCAATGGGAAACGTGGTGCGTTTAGCCTTTCGTTTCTAACCGTCCGCTGACGGGACGCATTCACGGTTTTACAGCGAATACAGACAGCCCTTGTCCTCAGAGATCACAGCGTCTTCTCAAAAGCACTAAGCAAACCACATTGGACAGCCAGATCACACCCGCCCGCCCGCTGTGAAGGTCTCCGCACTGCAGTGACCGTCTCAACACCAGGCGCCACCCGAGCGGCTTAACGTCCAGGGACAGGCTGGACGCTGCGTCAACAGTGCGGTGGTGACGGCTTCAACGATTCGAATGGATAACTACTTTGAAGAAATAGAAGTAAAGTGGAGGGGGAGCTCTGTGGCCCACCGAGGAAGTGTGCTGAACACCGACGAGTGGAAAAAGAAGAGAAAACGGAGCCAAAGACGCCCCCGAACAACCCCCCGAAACAAAACCCTACGCGTGTCACAGGAGAGTGTCCGTGAAATGCGGCGCTAGTGCCAGTGTGTGGAATGGTCTGT